CAACTTTTCTGTTGAAAAATGTTGAAATCATGAAGAAAATGCTTACATATTTTTGTTAATTTTAATCTTAAATATATGTAAATTCCCTAAAACGATTTCCGAGTGTCCTACTTTGATTTACATTCAAATATGCTAAGAGCTTGCTTCATCAATCTGCTGCATTCTTCTTACATAGTTCTACATCGATTAGGCTCTTTTGTCTATTATCGCTTGCACAAGTTCTTTGAGTCTTATCCACCTATACAATGCTTTACAATCATTTCCAATCAATTACACAATTAACCTTCGAGCATCTGAAAGTAATTTTGCCATGCTATAGGCAGTGAAAAGGGCTTGTATACTCGTAAACTATAAATGATTTAAATGGGACGACGTTGTCGTTATGGCAACACTTTTATCAACATTTCCTGCCAGCAAGGCGAGAGAAAACGCATGTGAAGGAAGTTGAGAACCACAGGATATGAAAATAAAACAAGCAGCTGCTGCTGCTGCAGCATGCAACAGAATCCTTGGCCAAAAAGTGGAAAGCATTTCGGCCTTTAAATAGTTTTGCCTACTTTCGAGCGGCAAAGCAGTTGGCAGCAGCAACAGCAGTTGCACCAGCACCAGCAGCAAAAACAATGTGCCCTCTTTTGCTCGCTCTCTTGCTCCGCTGAAAGTTTACACTGTGCAAATATGCAGAACACACCAGCATACACGCACACACACACACAAACACACACGCACACACTTGTAGAGGCACCCATCCATTTCCTTTCACCCTACTCGACTGGTGCATATTGTATAACGACGCATTTTTTCCGCTTTTGCCGCTGCTACAAAACTCTTATCAGCGCCATTTCCCTTTTGGCCAAGAGTGGGCGTCATGTGGGCTGGGCGTGGCATTGCGTGCACCCAGAAATTGTTTAAAAATAGTTTGCAAGTGGTAAAGAAGATGATGAAAAAAATCCCCTTACAAATACACACACACATACACACACTTGAATGAAAGCCCCAAAGATATGAAATTTTGCGCCGAGTGTTGACTGAAGGGCGCACAAGTGGGCGTGCCCCGGCTGTGTTGTCATTTATTGCCATTGCTGTGCGTAGTTTTCATGTAATTTTCAAGTATTTTTTCAACACCAAAAAAACTGTGCATCTAGCAAAACTTCTTGTCATACCCTATACAAATTCAAAAAGTAAGCTAGCTATGTGAACAAAGACTATTTGATCAGCTTTGGTTTATATATTTAATCTAAGAACATTTACCTAAAATTTATAGCCAATTTACAATTGAAGGATGTCGAAGGGTAAAGCTTTTAGAATCTTTGTACTAAGCTGTAGATTTTTATGCCGACAAGCCAATTATCTATTCCAAAACATATATAAAAAATAACATTAACACAGACATATAATTTAATTCATTTAATTTAATATATATGATTATTCAAAAACCACCTTAATTTTTCTCGGCTCTTAAAAAAAATAATGCTAAGAGATATCTTTTAGTTTTGCATTTCTCTTGGTACATACCGCAATGCACCAAACTTTTGTCACTCGCCCACACAGCACATAGGTGTGTGTGTGTGTGTGTGTGTATCTCTGTCGTGTGCATGTGTATATATTTTAAGTATATATATGTGTGTGTGTGTGTGTGTGCATAACCCATCGTTGTTCGCTGTGTCTGGCCCCATAGCGCACATCAGCTAAGTAAATAACATTTTTCGCACTCTTAGTCACGTTCCTAATCATTTTTATTTGGTAACTGTTCGGAAAATGTTTGCACACCAGCAGCAGCAGCAGCAGCAGCAGCAGTAGCTGTAGCAGTAGCAGTAACAGTAAGTATACTCTCATACACACAGACACAGTCACACTAGTTGGTACACACACATATAGAATATTTGTTGAAATGAGCTTTGGCACTAATATCGTTTATTAGCTTGGCACTTGAGTGTTTAAATGCTGAAAAATTGTTCGTGATAGTCCTTGGCAGGACAACGACGGACGTGCAGCATGGGTTGAGGAAGCCAACAGACACGCCGAATGTCCTCGCCATCGTTGAGTTTAATTTGAAATTAGTTGAACAGTTGTCGGTTTTGCGTTTTGTGCCAACCAAGCATTTTGTGTGTGTGTGTCCAAATACTTGGCAGCCATTGAGAATGGGTATATGGGATTACAGGGAGGCACGTTAGATTGCAGAGAATGTTGTAATAGGTCGCGGGTTCAATTGGTGTAAGGGAAAGGCCACCCAAATAATCTTGTGGCTAACCAGTGAAAGCACTAAATGTAAGCAAGGTCAGTCTGAGGAAAGAAATGGCACAAGAAAAAGAACTACACATCAAGTTAATGCTTGACTTGACACTATACGAGAATTGCTGATGGATTTGAACCGGCGACCTTTTGCTGGTTACCCTCTAAGATAGACTTTTTCGATATGTTTTCTTCACATACGCAACTTTATTGTACTCAATTTCTTCAGAAATAATGAAAAAGCAAAAAAAAAACGTTGAAATGCAAAAAAAAAAGGAAAAAGAATTAAACCAAACTAGATATAAAAATAACTTTCATCATAGAGTGCGACCACAAAAACCGCCATTTCCATTACGTTATGTGAAAATCAAGTGCTCACATGTGTAGTTGCATCGATTGTTGAACTTGACAACTTTTGCATTAAAAGCTAAAACCTGGCAGCTATCCAAAGCTAAACCCACTAAGAGCTGCACCTGCATGTGGTCACATAGCTCATACACACACACACACACACAGACTTACACATTTATATGCAGAATGTATTTGTGGGCGTGGCTGTCTGTGGCATTGCGATTGCTGGCGCTGCTGCTGCTGCTGTTGCTGCTGCTGCTGTTTGCATATTGTTATTAATTTTCATTTTGAATGGCATGTTGACAGTCACTTTGACACTGACAGCTTTGCTAAAAAGTATCAGCCAAGTGCCAGAGAGATGGGGAGAGGCAGCAGCAGGAATATATGTTGATCCTGCTGAGAGCTAAAAGCTGCTACGACCACTCGGCGTCAAAAGGTTTATAATTTCAAAACAGCCAACTCTGATGTGGCACGTCAACAATATGCAGCAGGTGTAAATCTCGCACGCACAGAGATACAGACCAACACACGCACACAGAGAGAGATTTTCTGCCTATGTGTGTGTGTTTGTATTTGTAAGTTTGCTGAGCCAAGTTTAACTTTTGGCCAGAATAGAGCAGCAACTGCCGCTTGCTGTTGCACAACTGATAAGCGAATAGTAGAACGGGCTGCAACCACAATTTCAAGTCTGCATCTTTGAATCTGTCAGTTAATGATATTTTTTGTCATTTAAAACTCTTTTGCTGAGAGGGGACTGGCGGCGAGGGCGCCATTCAGTTTTCTGTGTGGCTTAGCTCAAGTGACGTTTTTCCTTGGCTCGTTGCAGCCCCTTGAGCTTTCGCTTTTTGCTTTCTTAATTACACCACTCGAAAAATGGCTCGAAAGTGCAGCAGTGCCCAACAAAATTGCAGACACGCAAATAACCGCAGCCCCCGAGGTGCTTCGCAATGCTAAAATAACAGTAGAAACAGAAGTGGTAAGCCGAAGGAGCCCAACAACTTACAGGGAATTGCTGTATGGAGGAAATAGAAAACAAGCACTTGTACAAAGAAAAATGTCTAAGTTCTTCAATGAATATAAAAATATATATGCAAATATTCAACAACTATAGAAGACCATAATTTATTTTAATACGTTACATACTTGTAGCTAAATTCAAGCTACCCAATAGGCATGTATTAGCAACAGCACTAACAGCTCTAGCCTTGGAATTTCGAATGCAGCCGTTCTGCACTCGTGTTGCATGACAAAAAACCTTGGCTAACTCAGCGTATGCGCAATATTTGGTTTTTACGTATACCATATTTATTTACCACTTACTTTGCGTGCCGTGTTTAAATAGTGGCGTACTGTGGACGCTCGGAAATTTGAGCTTACAGAATTTAGATGAATAATTCAAATCGACATTTTAAATGAAATTTTTGCTGTTTTTACGAATTGGTTCTGTTAATATATCTCTGCACAGTATTAGATTAAAATATTCAATTTCAATTCATTTGCAACTATTGTAAAAAAAATGTGTTCAATGCATATAATTAATATCTAGAACATGTGAACTGCAACTGAATATAATGTTGCTCTGTTGCCCAACAACTTTGCCTGGATATTTTTCATAAACAACCAGCATGTTCTTTCTTTTCTGTAACAACATATTCCACATTTTGTTGAGAAAAAAAAATGAAGAAAAACAACGAGTTTGTGTATGTGCTATAAATATAATTCGTTGACCATGTTGTGTTTGTTGTTGTCGCTGGTGTCCTTTTTGAGGCACGGGACTCGGGTGCCATGTCCGTTATTGTTGTTATTATTGTTGTTGGCCCGCATTTCGACACCTTTTTCGCACATAAATTTTAATAACACATTCCAGAAACGCAGTGCATGTAAATTGCACCCACACGATACGCTCACATAACCATATTATGTTCATGCATGTATCTACATATGTATGTGTGCCACTGTGAGTGTGTAAGTATATATTTTGTATGTGCAAAACACACAAAACAATTCCCAAATGTCGCGACACGTAACGCTGAAAAACGCTACTGCTGCTGCTGCTGCTGCTGCAATTGGCAAACAAGTCAAGGTGGTAAATAGCAAATGAAACACAGAGAAGTTGGTAGGGTATTCGTGGAATCAGTTAGGTTGCAAGGCAGCCGGTAGAGGGTGTATCCAACGGGGACGACCTACATGTCGCTCATTTTGTGTCAACTGCGCAACGTAAATTGCCAAAAGGGCAGCCAAGAACAACAAGAGCAACAGCACGATGCAACAACAAAGTCGGGCCCGTTGACAAGTTAAAAAGTTGTGCGGGCATACAAAATAAAAATACAGAAACAGCAACAGCAGCAGCAGCAGCAGCAGTAGTAACAGCAACAGTCAATAAACTATAAAATATGCAATGTTTGAATATTTTTTCAACGAAAATATTTTATGCATGCAGGTGAATTGATTCAACGAGCTGCCAACGAACCAGCCAAACAGTCAAGCGCTGGCATTCAGTCAGCCAACCAAATGGCAACCAACAACGTTGCACCCAAAGGAAATTAGCTTGACAGGAAATTCCACACAACATTGCTGCGACGAGGCCGCGAAACCACCAAAGGCCACCCAACATGCCGAACCAAACCAGCCAAGCACCACCATATGCCCATTGCACCGCCCAAAACTCTGGCTGCCACAATGCACGTTGACATTTTCGCTCATGCCGATTTTCATATTACATTTGGTTGAGCTTAAATGACAAATGTGGTTGGTAAGCCGACGTCTGGGGCCTGCCTCCCACCGCCCGTGGGGACCACCCCTATGCATCCTTGGTCTGCCTCTGGGCTGCTCCTACTGTGCAGATCGTTGCCGGCTTCCACTAAAGTTGAGGCATTTTCGGTTTGCGGTATTATTGCCAAATGACAGCCCAACTGACTGACTGAATGACTGCCTGAATGACTCTATATTTGAGTTCCTGGGTGTGAGCCTGTGTGTGTGTGCGTGTGTGATTGAGTGTATGCGCCTCTGTCTGGTCGCGTTGGCTTTGTGATTCTGATGGATTGTGTTGGTAGTGGCAGCAATGCGGCGACAACGGCTCTCATGTTGTTGACTGACTCGACTTTTTTGCTTATATGCAGATAAAAAGATATGTATACAACAGCAACAACAATATGGTAGAAAAAACAGTCGGAAACTCTTAATAATTGCTAAGAAATAAATTAGAAGAACGAATAAGTCGAAACGTTTACACATAAGTAAAATCAAACCGAAAATACAAATTAGAAGATCATTTTAAGCATCAAAGAGCAGTATATTTTACAGAAAAAAAAGTATCTTTATGTATAAAACACTATGCTGACTGGCCGAGTAATTAAGGATCAACAGCTCCTGAGGCTGAATGGCTTTGTGCCTGCTTTGCTTATTTAACTATTCGATGGAATCTTTTAACAATCAAGCAACTATTTATTAGATCAACAAATGCCATATGTCCAAACAAAACCTATTGTGAGCACCTTAAGGGTGTCATCGTCTAACTACAAATATAAACAATATTTAAAATAACGATTTGTTGCCTTAGAGTTGATAGAGTAATCACACAACAGATATAGTTCACAGTGGTAAAAATCATGTCAAAGAAGAGCACGTTTTCCAAATACATATTCAATTTACGATCTTCCCGCTAATGCAAAAAATATCCATATGCGACCCAGCACGTATTGCCATCAGAAAGTTCTGTCCGGCGGTTTCTCAACGCGAAAAGCACATATCCACACGGATACCAGGACTACATAGTCCACCGCAATGTGCACCAGAAACAGACACTTTACCGTCACAACTAACTTAGAAATGATACGATGATACTGCGTCTCTTCCATTCGGCTATGCAGATTATTGTAGCGCAGCTTGAAAAACTGACTTCCCCATGCAATGCCCCCCACGTAGCAATCTAATGTCCTGAGTATTCCACATGGCGGCAATTGAACAAATGAAAGCCGGACATGATGTATATCTCGTTAGTTTCTTCGAGTTTTTGTTATTTATGTGCTAGTCATTAAGAGACGAATTAATAAAAATGACCTAGGCAATTGGCTCTCAATGTTCAAAGGTCATAATTAATCGAGAGAGGAAGTGGCCCTGCAAGAAATCAATATTGAGCGAAACAGTAGTAAAGCTGCTTCCGAAGTATAGTAGTTTTCATATTCATATATTGAAATATATATCTTAGTACCAAAGGTGTTTCGCAAACTGATGATCTTCATAAATTAATTTATATTATCATAAGTGTATGACTAAGTCATCGTTTGAATGTGATTGGCTGATTCTGCTTGTAAAGTTCCAACTTGTTCTCTCTTGACAACACTGAAAACGAATCACACAAACATTACCAATATAAAATTACTAAATTTGATATTCTGAAGAAATGATTAGTCAATCAAGTGGCATTAAAAATATGACGATTTTAAATACTAATTTAAGCATATCTTATCAATATTTAGTACAAAGGGTTAACCCCCCGTTTCCCTAAGATTTATAAGAGTCGCGCTTATCAGCAAGTGATTCCCTCGGACAACTATCAGAAGCATATATAAACACCAAACCCATCCACAATCAACAAATCAGTCTTTGATCAGTTACCAGACAGTTCAAGTAATGTATTCCCCAACGAAACTTATTGCATGTGCGCTGATTTTTGCCCAGCTACTGGGCACCATTTATTGCGGAGTGTACGATAATACGGATCGCTGGGTCGTTTCCGATAAGACGCAGAACTTCCCCGAAAACGCAGTGCTAGGCGGCATCGATTCATACGGCTATGACAACTACGTGGGACGCATCGTTTATGCAAGTTCGATTTTGCCAGCCCGTGTTAGGTCCGAAACTGGGTATACTACCTACAACACCGACACACTCGCTAATCAGGCGACCTACTACGAGTTGCTGGTCGCCAATGAGACCGTCAGCTATCACTGGGTGCGCAGCTACGATGGCTTCAGGGAAAGGAATGCTGTTTCTGTGGGCACAAGCGCCTTGAACGAACGTGTTTACGTGTGCCGCGCCAGAACTGATGGCGGTATTTTTATTGGCACTCTGTATCTTGCGCAAAAGGTGTGTTTCATCCGGTATGAGAATTTCCCTATGAGACAGATCAGTAAATACGAGGTACTGGTCCGACAAGTTACACCTACAGCGTGGGCACCATTCGTCAATCAAATCAATTGATAATATTGCAGAGATAAATACAAACATTTATAAGTAAAATGTTTTGATAATAAATTGAGCTAAATCATAACACGAAATATGAAGTACTTAATCCCTGGGGCTTATATTTACTACCAAGGCGAGTGTCTATATTACTCAAGGTAGCTTTACGTCTCAAAAGTTTGAAGAGACACATTCCATTGTTTATGTTTAGTTAACAAATTATTTCGAGTAGATTGCGGAGAGTATAGAGTAAAAGGGTAAGCGGGAATAGTTAAAATTTTGAATAAAAAAAGATCTGCACTTTTATATTAATGGTTATTTTTCTTCTTTGTCTAAGTTAAATATATTTGCTTTCCCCACGACTATATAAACAATAATATATCTTATGCATTTAAAAACGAGCTCTTTTCAAATATATTACTTTTCTAGAGTAGATTTCAGTAGACCAACAAGTTCTTTAGATGGCAGGGTAGCCGTTGCTATTCAGCTAGCATTTGTTTTGGTAACAGTCCTTTTAACAAGAATGGGAACACAAAGGCGCCTTTTGGCAGCAGAAACAACCCCTGTACATTGCACATTACAACAATAACAACGACAAAGAACAACATTGAGATGCCTATCGAAGCCTATAAATAAATTTGCCATAGCCAAGTCAAAAGCAATACACACAAAAGGTAACAAACGGCAAAAATATTTGAAAATTAATGCATGTACATACAGGCGTACATATAAATAAATAAACGGAAAAACACGCATACGCAGTGTATGACGATGACGAAAGATAAGGGACTGAGGAAAAGCAATAAAAACCGTCAAGTTGGCAACATTGACGACATCGAGCAGGACGAGTATAACGCTTTACGACTATAGACGATGTCAACAAACAGCGCAAATACTGGCACACAGCTCAGCCTGGGCTGCACCTGCGGCCTAAAAGTATGCAATAAAAAGGCAGCCGCCTTTCGTCGTTGCTATTGCGTAGTCGCCGTTTTGCATTAGTCCTGCGAAAGGGACTTGGCTGCGTTTCTTTTGATGCTCTACATAGCTGGTTTACAAATGGTATATCGAACATGGCAGATCCAATAATTCAACAATTTTTCCAGCAGCTACTTTGTTGCATGAAATTGCATTCTTTTACATAAAGAATATAGAATAGGCTTATTTTATGTTGATTTAAATCAAGTGAATTAAAATATTCTCCCGAATCAGCTAATATATGCCTGTAAGTACTTATGTCGCTAATTGCAGGGTATTTACGTAGTCTTTCTGAATTTGGGCTTACAATTCTGACTGTGTTTGCAATGCGCTTTTAATTTGACCGCGTCTGGCGGCAACGTTCACGATGGCGACGACTTTGGCGTCCTTTCCTTTGCCAGCGCAGCGGCGCAGAAACTTAATTTTCCCACTGTAGCTGTTGTTGATGTTGTTTTCGTTGTTGCTGCTGCTCTTGTTGTTGTTGTTGACTTGCGTTTTTGCATTGCAGTGCAAAGTTTGCTAGTCGCTAAAACTTTAGCCATTTGTTGTTTTTGCAACAATTTCCAGAACGAGGCTATTTGTTGCTTCGCTGGGCCAGACGACGGCAAAATCAACGAAAATGTCGCCCAAAACCAATCATTTCCTTTATTCTCAGACCATCGCCTGCCGACGACGTAGACTCCGCTTTCTACCATTCCTCTAGCAACTTTTATACTATCTCTCAGCGGATGTCTTACTAAGAGGGCAACATTTTAATATACTTGTGGATGCCATTGGCTCACTGCCATTTACAGCGTCCCATGCTCTGTGTCACGCAATTTTGTTACTAAAATAAATTTTATTTCGCTCGGTTTTTGGTTACTTCGCGTCGTTTTTCATTTCATCGAGTGCGCCCCTGTTTATGAACTGCTCGCCCTTAAATTGTCTTTATGCCATGGGCCAACTGCATGCCACTTAGACGCTGTCCTTTGACCCAGCCTCTGCTGGTTGGCCTTCTCTATACCCCTCTCTTTTTTTCTGCCGTCCTTTTTTTTTTGCTAATATTTTGCGTTTTGGCAAAATGACATCCTTTTGGCTGAGCGAACAGAGCGCCGAAATTTTTGCTTAAATTTAGTTTTGTGTTGTCGGGGTAGACGCGCCTTTGGCTCCGTTGACTGCTTACTTTGCCGTCGTTTCCTGAGGGAAATTAAAATGTGCTTAGAGAGTAATTTGAGAACATTTGGCTACTGCGTTTCTGTGCTCTGTATAACAGAGGTACATAAAGGGTATTCAAGGCAGCGCACTGCAAACTAAGCATATTTGTTTACTGTCGTGTTTTTTTTTGTCTTCTTTGTCTTTATTATTATTACTATATTGAGCGCTCTTTGGTCAACTTCTCCGCATTAACTTCTAATTAATAAATATATAATAATAATAATAATAATAATAATATTAATAGTAATAATAATAATAATAATACTAGCAATAATAACAATAATAATACAAGCTAAATAAAAATATTAATAATTATTATTATTATTATTGTTACTGTTATGGTATTTACGTTTTGTAGTTTCATATTTTAAAGCTCAAATTGTACTCGAACTAGCTAGTTTATGATTAAAAATTATTAAATACCAATACTTTATTGGTGGGGCATAATTTACAAAGAACTAATATATTAGCATACAATTCATCTAATTCATCTATTCAAACAAAAATGATGCGTACATATTTTAATTATTTATTATTTTTTCACAGTAATCATAATTATTCTCTTAAAAACAGTTTCACAAATTAGAATGCGTTGAAATGTTATCCATAACGTAGGCAGACAATTTAAATAAAAGCCTTTTACCTCAATTCAATCGCTGAAAGGGTTAACATCCATCAGATTTTTGTGCATTATTTTCCGTATGTCATCCACGGTCGTCTCTATTTGTGCATGTCAAATAACATTTCATTGACTTTTGCAATTTTTCGAGCGTTATGTTTTACAAGTGCACATATTGAGCAAACGGCAAAGGGAAATATCAAACGATTGACGTCTACACGAATCGCGCTGATTTGTCAGACATATCAATGCTAATGAAGTACTTGAAGAGAGTCGAGCATGCTACAGTTCGTTGAGCTTATGACTGAAGAGCCGTACTTATTGAAAGTAATCTGAGAAAATTGCATAAAATTTTGCGAGTTTTCTTTAATTTTACACGAAGCTTTATTCAAATTTTGTGAAATGATTAGAATCAGCATGGTTTATTCTTTCTTCTGCTTGATATTATTTAAGTCGCCCTCACCACCCGGGTTCATTTGTGGTTTCTGCTCGTAGCACTCGGGACGGCAGCACTTATACCATATAACGGATACGATGCCCATGAGAAGCCCAAACAATACGCCAATTACACAAATGCCAGCGAAAAACGCTGAATAGTGCACCTCATTTAGCAAATAGGCCAAAAAATCTATAACAGGCTGCGCAACGTAATAGCAAATAATTTCAATCGGATTTAACATCATTTTGTTTCTGTTTTCGTACACATATAATAAAAGAATGAATAAGTATAGGTCGAAGGCTTTATGATCTAAAATTTTTTTGTGAACATTCCAAGCCCTTTTCTATACAAAAAATTGCCATAAATTTGTAAACTTCTCATTTCAACAAAAGTATTGAAAATTCCTTAAAACAAATTCGTCGTATTATCATGGAGTTTCAGGAGTATTTGCACAAGCAAATGGCCATATTCAACTATCATTTACACTCCGATTATGGGCTGCTTATCAAAACAGCAACTTGCATTGCCTTTGGTGCGGTCTGTGGCTGGATTATGGGTCTTGTCACTTGGTTGCTATATAAGATAGCCAAATGGCAGAAAGTACTGCCTGTCAATTTTTATCACTATCAGGATGATTTGGATTTGGATTTGGAATTGGATACTGATATCGGGTATAATATGCAGATGCATGACAATGACATAGATACATCTATAAGCCCATTATTGGGAAGGCGACGCCATTGAGAGAACCGCTTTTCATTGATCTATCGGGTGTGTGTGTGTGTGTGTGCGTGTATGTGGTTAAAGTTTAAAGGCTTGTGCAAAACATCAAATGCACTTGCACAGCCTCCAATCGCTCTTAGACTGTCTCGAGTGGCAACAGGCTTGAAATTTAATACAGTAGCAAAAAAATTTGCCGCAATGTCATTAGCAAATTTGTATGCCATCGATGTTGCAACGTTTTAAATTCAATTACTCATACGCCATGCATAACACCCACAGCCACATAAAAGCTGCTCGACTCTTGGCATGTGTGTTTGCTTTGAACATGGCCACAGGCTCGAAATATTTAATAAACCATATCTTTTATTTTTTGCCTTCACCACATTTTGTACTAAATTTTATAAAATGCTTGGTTTTTGTTGGTTCTGTATATTGCCTGCTGTTGATTTTGCACAAATAGCCGGCAGCTATTTTTCCACAAATTCTATATAATTTATATATTGGCTGTCTTTTGCCGTGGCTGCTGTGTAGACACTGAAGGTCATGACTTGATTTGATATTAGCCTTAAAGCTTGCTTTAGTTTTTTTTTTTTTTTTTCCAGTGATTGCTTGTTGCCAATGGCACTAAAAAGCTTATACTTTATGAATATCAAATTTTAACGCGCATCTCTTTGCAGAAATTGCAAAGAAGAAAAGCTCAAGAGAAGAAGACAATATGTTCCATTGGTCTAGCGAAAAATTCAATGTAATCTCTGTTTAAGATATGCAAGTCTTGACTGTACACTAATATGCGAGTCTAAATGGCTAAATGTCCAAGCTTAATAGCTAAATTCAATTACTGCATTTGGAATAATCGCCCCAATTAATAAATAATGGAAATTTGTTGAATTATTGACAATAATAAAAATGTAATTGTTAATACTAAGTGGGTCTTGCAATCAACTAGTAATGGAAAACGTTTTGGGCAATTTTCGATTTTAAAAATGCCTCGTTTTTTCTGCTTGGATAAATCCAAGAAGACTACACAAACTTCATAGGTTGCCTTTACCATTAGACAAAGAAAAACAAGTAGAGTTCACTTTTCATTCATTATTCTAGCCCCAGTTATTAGCCTACTTTGAACATTTTGGCAACGTCGCATGTTCCATTGTTATTTAAAGACTATTGTCTATGCAAGTACTTGAGAAATGCTTACAACATTTCAGAAACAGACTCAGCAGGAGCACAGTAAAGACTTAGGAGAGCTGCGACTACCACAACCCCAATTTTCGAAGGCGAGTTATAATTGCAAAAATGTTACAATGCAGTGGGAGGGGCAGCCATATTGCGGTAAGAATGAAAGAGAATCTGAAACTGAATGAATACCACGACAAAAGGGTGGGTTGGCTCTGGAGCATTTAATCACCAAACCAACCCCACAGACAACCGCGTAATTCATTCAGTGGGTGCCGTTGAATTCAGAGCTTAAGCCTCCTGCGTTTCCCCACCCCTCTTGAAGGGGGTTGCTAGCAATCCAAATGCGCTTAGGGTGTCATAACTGCAATCGCGTCGTGCCGTCGTCCACGGGACACAAAACATCTGTCAGCGGGGCACATTTACAAAATGCAATTCCCGAAAAACTTGGCTTGCGCTTTCCCAGATGCAGAATAAACGGGGCCGGGCGCATGGAACTACGACTTAATTGATACATAAATAACAAGTTAGACTTTAAAAACGGAAACTGCTCGACTATAGACAAAAACATTTTAGATTAAAGCACAATCATAACTGATTAATTTATAATATAGCCAAATCGTATCTTGCTACATTATTGAAAAATGTATTTTATTATTGATGGATGCATTTTAAGGAATATTTACCAGGGATGGACTTTTGATATAGCTTATTTATAATACTTAAAGATTTAATATTTATTAGGCGCACGCCCACTCTCGAGTATTTTCTTGTGCCAGCTAAGCTATCTATGAAAAACCTTATACACTTCTTTTGAAATACTTTCCAAGGTATTTAAGTGCCAAGCCGCGACCAGACAACCAAAACACTCTAAGCCTTTGCCGGGATGAAGTGTGCAGGTTGTGCACGATTCATTAAGGTTTTTTATTTCATTGAAACATGAGTATTTTCATATATGAATGCGAATGCGCCGTCATAGAAAAAGTATATATTTCATATATATATATATATATATATATATTTATGATTTTCCCGTGCCGTGCGTAATGAGGCAGACGGCTTAGACGGGATGGGATTGCATAGGTTCGAGTGGGTGTGCGCATGTTAATGTTGTAGTTGTTGTTGTTGTTGTTGTTGTTGTCTAGGCAACGGCTCAGTGTACTTTATTTTTTATATGCAGCAGCAACGCGGCAACGTCAGAGTTGCATTTTCCGGCATTCGCATTTCCATTGGGAAAAAATAGCACTGCCAAGTATTCTACACGGCTAGGAAGCCGTCGTCTCTGCCCGCCCGTTTGTGTGCTCAGCCTCTCGTTTTGGTGCATTGAACCTACCCTCACTTACATTTGTCTGTGTATGCGGTTCACTTGCTATGAGATTTTCGTTTTTGGGAAATACTTTAGAGGCAAACTGTGTGTGTAATTTGAGGCATTTTTGCTTTGTCGAAGGAAAACAAAATTGTTTAGTTAAAAAAGCGAACGCAAAGGCCTTTGAGGGAACAAACAAGATGAAGGAGCGATATCTCGGATAGGCTTTAAAATTACTTACATTGCTTCTATAGAATATCATGAAATATCGTATAATATATATTATTAAGAAAATGAGCTAATCAAAATTCAAATACATTTTTACTTTCAATTTAGAATAATTGATGCACTTACCACAATTACAATATTGCATTTGCTCTTGTCTATTTCCCATCTAAGCCTTTTTCATATTTGGTCTATATAACATTATTTCCCACGCTGAATGCCTGTTGTTAATTTTGAATGTAGTCTAAGTTGTTGTATAGGCCTTTCGCTCTCGAAATATGCTAAGTAATATGTTATTATTGCTGATGCTTAAACAGATATCTTCCACACAATATTGATTTTTTTTTTGTTCTCTTCCTTGCACCGGAGAATAATTGTGCGCCAATTGGCTAGGTCATTTCGATTAATTCGCCTGTTAATGGTCAGCACATAAATAAGAAAAACTGAAACAAATCGACCTGATACACATCATGACCGGCTTTCATTTGTTCAATTGCCGTCATGTGGAATACTCAGGACATCAGGTTGCTGCGTAGCGGGCTTGCTCAGGCCGTCTATCGCCGTTTTTTTCAGTGTAGTGCCTGGCTGCTCTATGGCATCGCACGGGGCTGTCATTTTTTCAAGCTGCGCTACAATAAACAACATAAGCGAATGGAGGAGATGCAGTATCATCGCATCATCTCCAAATTAGTTGTGACGGTTAAGTGTTTGGTTTTTCTTCGCGATGCGGTGGATTATATGGTACTTGGGTTCGTCGTATGGATACATTTCTTTAGAGTCGAAGACAGCGGAGGGCAGAACTTTTTGATCGGCCTAGTCATGCAAGGCCTAACCATGTATGTACTGCGTCGTGTAACGATTTTTTTACATTCGCAGGAAGATCGCAAATTGATAATGCATCTGATCAACGAGATCTTCTTCATAACACGCACCATTGAGAGCAAGTTTGGCATGATTTATCACTGTGAGCTGTGCCTGTTGTGTGTTTACTTTTTCAAGCAGTATTTGTTGTATGTTATGCTGGACTCTATGTGGCACAAGCCCTACTTTCTATGGATTAACTTTTTCTACTGGATACTAATGGAGTATTGTAGCCTTGGCTATTTCATCTATCAGTTGATTTTGCTCAATTGGTATCGCAACTTTAGCTTCTTCTTGCAACGCTTTATCGAATATCATGGCAGTCAAAGTTTCATATCTGGTCGTTACCATCGCCGTCTGTTGTGGCTTTTCAAAATACATTTGCGCATCAACAATTTACATCAACATATCAAAAAGAAGGTCGCCTGGCTGCCTGCGGCCATCTACTTGGCAATTTTTACGAGCATTTTTAACATGACGTTGATGATTGAGTGCATCGTCTATGCGGGGGATGAAATCGAGAACAAAGTGTATATTATGTCAGATGGTTGCCTAGGCCCAGCTGTAATTCCAATGCTCAACGTATTTATTATTGGCTTGTGCACTGATCGATTGCGCAGCGAAGAGTTGACACAACAGCAGCAGATTGTACTCATAAATATTTTATATGTACGTAAGGCCTTCCCACACGATCATACACTCAAGGTGCTCAACAACGAGGTGAGTTGGGGAATTCATTTAACTCGGATGTCATCTTTTCGATTGTTTACAGCACACTTCGTTGATTGTGCATCAAAAATTGGAGCCGTTGCTCAATGTGATCATTTTGGATACCACCTGTGATCGTGAATTCGCCTTTGACTACTTTTTGACAGTGATTGTAACTGCGCTGTCCTTTGTACAATACACAGTTTCAACAGGTCGCATTCTTGATGAGTGTGTGACTCACAAATAGGCGAATCTCATAAGGTGCACAATCCAACAAAGACCTGCTGAAAGAAAGAAAAAATTGTTGTACATAAACGTGGCATTTGCTTTTGAAATAAACGCATCTCTGTGCAGGGAGTTTAGTATGAAAAATATTATCTAAAAAAACCAAAGCTTATTTTAACACAATATAATATAATTAATAATCAAGAATAATTTATGAAATTAAATATAAATTCTCACTCACTCTTTTTGCCACTCCTCATTTTGATAAGCTCGTTTCATACAACTTATCAACAACTTAGGGAGCGGCAAAAGAATTTATAAATTTTCACTCTATAAGAGCAACAGTTCAAACATTCAACAGTCACGTACCAATTCGACACACAATGTTTTCCAACAGTATAAAAAAAGACTATGCAAAACATTCAATTTTTGATACATTCTGCTGCTACATTTAAATTTATTTTTACAACCCTCCAGCAAATGTGCGCAGGCACACACACACACACCCTCAGCCTACCCGCCAGACGATAAAATAATAATCGATTTGACTTTGGTTTGAGTATTATTTTTTTTTTTGCTCTCTTTTGGTTAAAAAGCCCACAACTCATCTGAGCCGCCGCACAAAATGTAAAAAATGGAGCTCTGGCACTTCCTGCTGGGAATCGATTTTTGTACATTTCCCCAAACTGTGATGCTACCAAAATTTATGCGAATTTGAATTTGATATGGTTAAACTGTTTGCCTAGGCAACGTCAGCCATGCAAATGGTTTGATAAGAGCAGCATGAGGTGGGCAATGGGCCCGGGTGTTTCTGAGGGGCGTGTTGTAGGCTGTCATTGTGCCTAGCTTTGTCGCTTTTTAGTGTAAAATTAATTTGCTATAATTCATCAATGGACCCAGGCAAAGGATTATTTTGCATAAAAAATTGTGGCACTTGTCGATTTTGCATAGTCTGCTTTTTGGGTATGGCATCAGCAGCTGTTAGGCAAGAGCTTGGGCCCGATATCAAGCTAAAGAGTACGCGGAGAAGGTGGCCCAATGCCATTCGGTGTGTGTAACTGACGCACTTTGTGTAATTTATGGCTGCACATTTATTTTATTGAGTTTAATGTGGGCGCAGTTGTTGCCAGCGCCTTTCAAAGGTGAAAGGTTGGGTACACGGGGAGTGGGAATGGGGATAAGAGCCGTGCAGGCAGCTTGAAGGATGAGAACTGGTGCCCCATTGGCGCTTTGTTATGCCTGACTGAGCGCAGCGGCAAATGTATTACGTTTGAACAGGGATGAATGGTATTCGAAGATGCCACAAACACGGTTCATAAAATGAATCAGCGCTTCACAGACATTGGAATATTAAATTCCAATAAATATTGAGTGCACCAAATATTAAGAACAAATATTAATAAGAGCTCACAGCTCAACAGTAGAAGAATCCGTGCTGAATATAATCAATCAATCGACTCTCTTTTAGTAGTTAATTTTAAAAGCAATATTCTTTCATTATTAAATTACAAGAAATAATACAAATGATCGTCTATATTTTTTGAAATCTTAGAGGGAAAGCTAATTAGGCAATAAGAATTTAAGATCTAAGCATAGAATTTCAGAAATTTTCATGTAATATGCTATTCTATAAGGTCTTTTACTACTTTGCCAACAAATAATATACCTAAGCCTTAGCATTAAAATGTTTAATGCCAATTAAATGAAATATGTTTTGTATAAGCCGATTTCTATGACAAACAGGCAAACAAATTAAATCGTTTGGCCCAGAAACTTTACAAAACTCGAAACATAGACACAAACACCGCTGTTTGCTTTTTGTATATGTGTAAGTGTGTGCGTGTTCGTGTTTGTCTGATGTTGCCCAACAACTAATTAAGTATTCAAAAACGTTTTGGCATAAAGTTTAAATTGTCTGTGGACATGGGCCTGATGGCCGTACTTTGTGTACGGCTAGCTACGAAAATCCAATAATAAAGCCAAAGCTGCCGTCGTAGACGGCAACGCTTGACGCTCATAAATTATAGCAAATTATTAAGCAAGGAGTCAAAAAAGTTTGCATCGCACGCGCCAAAACGAAACTTGCAAGTACATTGCGTATACGTAATGCTGCGACCATGTCGCCTTGTGTTGCGGCGAATGATTTATTTTTATTATTATTGGCGGTGAATTTTAAATCAAAAAGCGCACAAATACTGTTGCCCAAATTGCGAGGGAGTCGCCCCCACAAAAACCAAAAAGAACACAAAGAGTAAGGGAAAAAAATTTGTGCTACAGTTTTGTGAGTTGCCTTCGGTGGCAGCTGCTTTTGTCATTATTAATAACTGTTAATTATTCACCATTATAACTATGGTTGAGAGCACGTTCTTGTTTGTCGTCTGCCCCAGTCACACCCCCACCAGCCCCTCTACCGACTGCTACCATTCAGAATTCTCTATGTACTTTGCCGCTCAAGTAAATTCTCTTTTCATATTGTTTGGCATCATATTTTATGTGCTTCTTAGTTAACGCCTGTTCGTCTCGCCTCATTTTCTCCCGCTCTTTCTCTCTCGCTCTCTCTCTCTCTCTCTCTCTCTGTCTCTCTGTCTGTCTCTCTATTAGCCATATTTACATATTATTAAAAAGTTTTTCAAGCTCAGACGACAACAACGAAGAGCGGGAAACTTTTCTATTTTGCCCTGGCTAAAAGTTATTGAAAATTCATGAATAATTGACATTTATTGCAGTTGGCACAAGTGATGGTCGATAATGGACGACCGGACGCCCACTCTAAAGTAGGCGTGCCATCTGAGATTTTCTCAGTGTGTGTGCTTGTATGCGTACGCCTGCCTGTATGTGTGTGTGTGTGTGTGTGTGTCGTTGCCCATTTATAGACATAAATATTAAAGTAGCTTACGTACTTAATTGTAAATTATGTATTCAATTAGTTATGCCAGGCTGCCCGAATTGAGAATATGGTCCACATTGATAGTCAGAGGCTGCAGTGAGACGAAGCGAATGCACTGATAGAGCTACAGAATATTCAATCAAATTTGTGGGTCTAATTTACAGTTCATGTGCAAAGTTTGCAGCTGGTAATTGTTTGGCATGTTCTTAATCATTTCTGCCAGCAGCCATTTATATTTAGTATTATTTTCGATTAGACCAATCTATTGCCTAATTATAATTCCAAAAATAAACATACTACAACTTAGACTTATTTTCGAGCAGTATGAAATAGTTCCAATCTGTTGCTCATATATAAAATACATTTTAAATTATATTATGGTATACAAATACTTTACTAATTTTATATTTAAGCTGAGCTTAAACTACTTTTTTTTCGAATGCTGTAAAGGTAAATGATATCAAGGATTACAATAAAATACGTATAAATAAATATCACGTACATAGTTTGAAAAGATTTTTCGAATGTCATTTAGACATTATTAATGAACAATTTATTATGAAAAGATTTACAACAAAATTTTTGTTAAATTTAAAATTCGAATTCAATCATAGGCCAAATGAATATTATTAAATAAAATAAATATTGCTCGTTTAAAAAAAAAAAAAACAAAAAGGCAACAAAAATATTTACAGCATTAAATTTATTCAATAAATGGCCAAACGACAAAATGTATTTAATTTTAGGCAATATAAATGCAATGTGGCTTCAGTCAGCTTGAATTTAGACACAAACAAGAAACTAAAGATTATTTCTTAAACAATCAGATATTTTGTTTCTCTGGGCAATCAAAATGCCAAATATGTCAAATTCTCAAACAAACAATTATATAAACTGTTCGGCAAATAGTTAAAAGTCAAGATAACAGCCAAGCCAAAAATCAATTTGATGCGAATATTTAAAGAACTGTCTAAGGCTAAAGTTTCGCATTTTAGTTGATGGCATTGCAGTTTTTGATTAAATGTGGCCCGCAGCGAGTTTACAGAATAACCGAGATATGACTAAAGAATCCCACTCGGTACTGTTGCATATTATGAAAATGTGGCAACCTTTCCTGTGCCACGCCCCGCTCTCTTCGCCCGTGAGTTGACTGCCTAAATATATTTTGCACATAACAAACAAATAACACCAGAGGGCGCTGTCAGTAGCATAAGCTCAGCATATCCGTTTTTGTTTTAGTTACAACTAACTGCATATGGATATAGTATTCAAGTGTGCGTGTGTTGCTTGTATGCATATGGTATGGCATACATATATATAAATTTATATCAAAACATTTATGTAGTAGTATGTAGACCGCATATGCTGACGGTTTGGAGAGCCGGCGCTACGCATTTCCAGGCATTTGCATTCAAATGCATTTAATTAAATCAACTAGAACCAACAGGAAAATGCAGCAACATCAGCAACGAGCTCAGCTCAACCCAACAAATGACCTTTTCTCACACTCGCATACACACACATCCCCAGGCGCTCAATATGAGCCTCATAACATTTAAAACAAAATTTATTTTGTGCAAATTTTGCCAGGTTCGTTAGTTTTAATTGTGTTTAGTTTTCATTTTCAGTGCAAGTTCGCACAGTGGCACAATTACGAAAATTATCCAGCAAAAACCTAAACAAATTCAAAGAAAGCCTAAAAATCAGATATTATATGGAGAAGCTATATATTCGTAAATGGAAGATCTAGCTGATTATTGCACTCTAAGCCAGAGACTTTACTTAATTTTTTAAAATTATTAGCCGCTATAGTTCAAAATTAATGAAATATTAAATATATAAATGTTTAGAAAGCACAGATTCGACGATTTCATAGATCTTGGAAATTTAGCTTTTAGATTGAGAGGAAAATCCATTACATCCAGAAATGTTCTAATATTTTATTCACATTTTCCTACCAGTGTACTTGGCCTTTGTTTGGCTTGACAACAATTTTTGCTATGCTTACAATTAACTTCGCCAAAAGTGTACTTTTTTTAGTCGACTGTTGATGCTTTTTCTGTCAATTTGACAGTTTTGGGATTGCGGTTTTTAAAAACAAGTGAGACCATTAAATAAAACACAAGAGCAGCAAAAGCGGGATCGAGAGTGCTGTCGACCTGTCTGATTGCCTGCCTGCCTGCCTGCCTGGCAGCCCGGCCGACTATCCTGAGGCCAATCCCACTGTCAATTAGCAATTGGCTGAAACAGCGTACCCGCA